CTGCGTATAGACCACTAGACTTGTCCGGCTCAGCCGGAACAGGAACAGAGAGCTTGTGATCCAAAGGCAGAGGGGTGGGCTGTGCTAAGGAGAACTGGAGACTGAACCTCTGGAGGATGTGCAGCACCATATGGGACTGGGAGAGTGTGATCGTGCAAGCAGCAAGGTCACGAGAGATCTCCAAGCCCAGATAATGCCTCAGCTCTCACAATTCTGTACAAGTGTGTCTCCTAAGTAACTCGACCTTCACTGAGGCAAGTGCGACTCTGTAAGGAGTAGCAAAGATAAGATCGTCTACGTACACTAGAATGTAGAACGGTGTCTGACCCATGCGAACAAAGAGAGAGGGGTCAGCAGAGGACGAAAAGAACTGCCAGTAGGTGGCGAAAGGTAACGTCACGAGAGTGGTAAAAGCAGTGGTGTAACGGGTGGTAGAACAGCCAGTCAGTGGCATCAAGTGGAAACCCCACGAAAACCAAGGAAGTTTGCGGGCTGAGAGCTTGTCCGTGCCAGTTTCGCGGACGTGAGCAAGGCTGCCCCAGAAGTGGAACACAGCCGCGTCACCAGGAGACCGGGTCCAGAGGAGGGTCGGCGAAACCAGTGGCCGTTGGGAGAGCAGCCACAGGTTAAGCTGGTGAGCAGTGTTGCGCACTGCAAACGGCCACAGAAAATGGGGTGCACCGGCATGGACCATGGAGGTGCGAGCCACCTCCATGATCAGGCTGATGCGTCACTCAGTGATCCCATATTGCTATGGGGAGTCCGGCAGTGTGTACATTTGGCGGATGCCCTCCGCACGACAGAATCGTCTTAGAGTGCCAGAGGCGAACTCACCACCTCGGTCATAGTGTGAGCGACCTACAGGCAGACGGTGGTGGGTGCAAAAAGTGAGAAGCCACAGAAGGAGAATGGCAGGCACGTCGGCCTTTCGCTCCAATGGGAACACTGTGGTGAAGCGCGAGAAGTCGTCAATGATGACTAGAAAGTAGCCCTCCCGACTAAGACCATGGACTTGGGTAGGGACCCCGAAGTCCATGTGCAGTGTCTGTAGCGGCGCTGCATTAGGAGGAAACGAAGAGAAGTGAGGGGCGGCGCGCTGCCGGCCCTCGACGCAGGTTGTGCACAGTGGTGCTACCGACATAGGCAGGGCGGGAAATGACGTAGGGAGACCAGTGACTAGACCGTGCTGGGACATGTGCCTAAGACGCGAGAGTGCAGGGTGACCTAAGCGGTGGTGCCACAGAAGGGTCGGGTGGGCTATGGAGCGACAAGAGCAGAAAAAAGCAAACGTGACAGATGCAGCTGTCGGTGGGGACTCAGTGTGCAGTATAAAGAGACCTGACCCTGGGTCACGCTCAAACGTGGCTAAGTGCCGACCTGTGGTTGTGTCTGTGCTGGCGGCATGTCTCTCGCGGCTAAGGAACGTAGTGGTGATGCCTCAGTCCTGAAGGTGACCGACACCCACTAGGTTACTGGCAAAGGACGGGATGTGCAGACCAGTGAGGGAGCCGGAGGGGACAGCTGGACAAGTGAAAGTGGTGATGCTATGTGCGTTAGTTGTGGCAAAGGAATCTGCTAGTGCGATGCGGATAGGCGAAGGAAGTGGGGTGAGAGCAGTACTATCTCTAAAGAAGCAACGAGATGCGCCCGAGTCAAGGATAAAGGAGATGGCCACCTCAGGAGGTGCAGGGGAGGAGCCTAGGAGACACGGAGTAGAGGCTCCTAGGCTAGACACAGTGGTGGAACCTAGACCCCTAGGCCCCAAGGCCCCCCGGTCCTCCAGAGAAACCACACTGGCCCCAGGACAGTGACCGCCCTAAGGCTGCACCTCCAAAGCCTCCACCTCGCCCAGCACCCCCAAGACCCCACTGTGGCTGCTGCCGCTGCCGCTGCGGCTGCTGCTGCTGTTGTGGCAGCGGCAGCGGCACTGGCCAGAGAGCCCGGAAGCAGATGTCGAGGTCGTGGATGTAGAAGCCGAGGAGGTAACTAATGTGATCCTCTAAGAGCGTGCAGTCTAGGTGCGGGCTCACCAGCTGTAGACGGTGAGCGATAAATCGAAGAGCGGAGGGAAGCGCTCGGCGATTTGGCCGAGGGACGGACCCGAACGAGGCCATGATGCCGAGAGGAGAGGCGTCAAAGAACTCTAGAAATGAGGAGGAGACTAGTGGGAGGCACTAGGTGGTATAGGAGTGCTAGCGGAGGTAGTAGCAGTGGCGGATCTGGCCGGAGCAGTGGCAGCGAGCAGGAGGCAAGAAGCTGCAAATAGGAGTAGGAAGCAAACGAGGAGGAAGTACACGCGAGAGGAGCTACTAGGAGTAGCGCGCTGAGGAGCTAGCTAGAAGTCACTAGGACTGGCGGCACAGGGGACTCACGAGGGTGGCGGCCGACTGGCGACTGGCGGCTGGTGGTTGGCGGCTGGCCGCAAGTGGTGGCAGTTGGCGGCTGACGGCTGGGGTCGGCGGCTGGTTGCCGGCGGTTGGATGCTGGCGGCTGGCGACTGCAGTGGCGACAGGAGGGGCAGCGGCGGCTGCAGTGGCAGTGGTGGCAGCAGTGGGAGCAGCATCTGCAAGGACAGTGGCGGCAATGGTGCCATTGGCGGCTGCAAGTGCAGCGGCGGCAGCAGCAGCTGTAAGGGTGGCAGCGGCAGTGGCAGCTGCACAGGCAGCGTTGGCAGTGGCGGCTGCTGCTGGCGGTTGCAGCGGCAGCGGAAGTGGCGGCAGCGGCAGGGGTTGCAGCAGCTGCGGCAGTGGCAGTGGCGGCAGTACAAGCTGCGGCAGCACAAGCGGCGGCAGCGGCAGTGGCGGCAGCAGCTGCAGCAGTGGCAGTGGCAGCAGTGGCGGCTGCAAGGGCAGCGGCAGCAGCAGCAGCTGCAAGGGCAGCGGCGGCAGTGATGGCTGCAAGGGCAGCGGCGGCAGTGGCGGTTGTAAGGGCAGTGGCGGCAGTGGTGGTAGCTGCAGTGGCAGCAGCGACAGTGGCGATAGCAGCTGCAGGAGTGGCAGCGGCGGCAGGGCATCTGCAGCGGCAGAGGCGGTAGCGGCTACAGCAGTGGCAGAGGCGGCAGTGCAGCTGCAGCGGCAGAGGCGGCAGCGGCAGTGGCAGCAGCAGCTGCAGCAGTGGCAGTGGCGGCAGTGTGGGCTGCTGCAGCGGCAGTGGCAGCAGTGGCTGCAGTGGCAGCGGCGGCTGCGGCAGGGGCAGTGGCTGCAGAAGTTGCGGCAGTGACTGCAGTGGTTGCTGCAGTGGCTGCAGCGGTTGCGGCAGTGGCAGGGGTTGCAGCGGCAGGGGCAGCAGTAACGGCGGCAGTTGGAGTTGCAGCAGTAGTGGTGGCAGTGGCAGTGGCACAGGCAGCAGCAGTGGCGGCTGCAGTGGCGGCGGCTGTCCGGCAACTAGCTGGCAGCGGCAGTAGCAGAAACGGCAGTGGCAGCTGCAAGGGCAGCGGCGGAGCGGTGGCTGCAAGGGCAGCCGCGGCAGCAGCGGCTGCAAGTGCAGCGGCGGCAGTGGCAGCTGCAAGGGAAGCAGCTGCAACGGCAGTGGCAGCAGCGGCAGCGGCAGCGGGAGCGCTGGTTGCTGCAGTGGCAGTGGCGGCAGAGGCAGGCTGCAGTGGCCGAGGCGGCTGCGGCAGCGGCAGTGGCGGCAGATGCAGTGGCTGCAGTGGCAGAGGCAGTTGCTGCAGTGGCAATGGCTGGTGCGGCAGTGAGCTGGCCAGTGACGAGCTGGCAGGTGCTGCAGGCTAGTAGCTGGCAGCAGGTGCTGACGGCGAGCTGGCTAGCACTGCTGGCAGCGCGCTAATGCGCTGGCTAGCTAGCTGGCTAACGTGCTGGCTAGCTGGCTGGCGTGTTGGCTGGTCCATTGACTGGCGTGCTGGCTAGCGCGTTGGCGGGCGTGCTGGCTAGCATGCCGGCCGGTGCGTTGGCTGGCACGTCAGCTAGCGTGCTGCTGGCGAGCGAGCTAGTGAGCTTGCTGGCTAGCGGGCTGGCTGGCTTGCCAGCCTGCTGGCTGCCGTACGAAACAGCACGAATGCTAGGGGGGAGTGCATCTAGGCTACAGTGCGCAAAATTGGAAGGCTACAGTGCGCAAAATTGGAAGGCTACAGTGCGCGAAATTGGAAGGCTACAGTGCGCGAAATTGGAAGGCTACAGTGCGCGAAATTGAGAGAGGTGCACACACGCAAAAAATAAGAAGCTACAGTAACGGCGGTAGCGTGAGTAACGGCGGAAGCGTGAGAAACGGTGGAAAAAAAATCTAACGGGCTACTTAACAAGCCTTTTAACTCAGTGGTTAGTGACTGAGCTTTAACCGAAGATGCACTCGTTGCAGCTCCGTACTGCACACTAGAGATGGCTCTCCTGGCCAAACCAGAATCAGCAAGGGCGAGGGAAAACTGGTCCATCAACAGCACTTGCACAAGACATGTTCAAGCTGCAAAATCAATGTAACAGTGCTTTGTTCACCCTGATTTGAAAGTGGAGGCAAGGCCTTAGCTAGAGCCCTGGCCTGATGACGGCCTTCAAGAAGCATTTAAGTCTAAAAATATGGCCAATGAGATCATAGGCACTTGCTAGGATGGGTCGATGGGTCTTCATCCCCTTTCCCACTAGAACTAGCTCTCTCCTCCCTCCTTGACACATCAGCATTAGTTTCATCCGTGCGAAGAAATCGGTTATTCACTAGTGCAAGTTCCTCGTCCATGGTCCTCATAGGATGCTGGTTCACCATCATCTCATCAACCCTTGCAGCAGCACTTGCCCTTGCATCCCCCCCTCCCACATCCTCCCTGAGGGCCTTAAAGTCCTGGGCCACTCGAGACATGGAGGGGCGAGAGGTAGTGGGCATGGCAGTGCAGGTCGTGGCAAGCTGGGCCATGCGCTTGATGATGTCATGAGGTGCTGCCATGCGGGGGTCCCGAAGGAGTGATGTCAACCCACCAGTATCAGGTCAGTTGCCTGTTAGTTGGGGGGGGATCGCATGTGGTGGGCACAACAAGTGAAGGAAACAAGAATAAAATCGATTTCACAACAATAGCAAGTGCAGACACAAACAACTGCAAGTAGAGCCTCGAGGAAAGGCAGCTATCGAGACTAATGGGCGGAAGTAGTTATATGCTACACACCCATTTGGAGATGGATACTAGTTCTTGGTCCCCAAATATTTCCTCGCTGCCCAGGTTCGCCTCATTGCCCGTAGCACCTTTCCCAGACACCATCACGAGCATGAGAATGCCAAAGCTGGAGGAGGGAAACATTGGTGGACAGGACATATGAAGAAATTTGCATCTTGCAAGTTTTGACAAGACAAGAGAAAGAAGCAAATATAGAATGTGACCTTGCCATACGATGGAAAATGCAAAGTCGGGAAGCCGACAGCTTGTAGAAGAGAAATCAGAGACGTGGTTGATGTAAAGGTGTCATAAATGCTTAATTCATGTAGATCGTTCTTTTTAACTGAAGTTCAACTGTATCTTTGGGCCAGATTTTGGAAACGGCGGGCAAGGGCCCATGTTTCAATGAACCCCGGCCGCCTCGGTCTCGGGCTCAGGCTCTTTCTCAACCCTTATGCGAATCTATTGTGCATGCATACACTTTGTTACGGAGCGGACCTTGAAGTCTATTAAGAAAACTCGGGCTTCACACTTGTACGACTCAACACACCACCTCTATACGATAGCATAGCCCTGTAAACATCAGCAGCAGTTGTGGCATTATGTGTTATGAGGTACACATAGCACCTGAGGTCCACATAGCCCACCGTTCCAAGTACTCGCATGGAGCCCATTGCAGTGCCCACCCCCCACACGTAGCAGCCCAAAGTCTGCCACCTTAGTCTGGGGAGGAAAGGAGAGGACAGAAGGCTCGATGCAGGAGAAGGGTTAGCATGGATCCTCCATCCGGCTCATCATTGGTCGATGACACGATACATTAAAATGACCCTATTGGGTTCAGCTTAAAGTTGATGGGTAGCCTCAACACCCCACCTGCGTGTGCGCATCAATGAGGATGTTGGCTGGCTTGATGTCATGGTGCACAATGCCAAAGCCATGGAGGTACTCCAAGCCACATGCAACCCCAATGAGAATGTCCACCTGCTGCTGTAGAGTCAAGCTAGTGGGGGCATCTGGAAAATGGAAAAATACCGGGGCTGGATGTCGTCGGAGAAGCAGACAATTGAAGCAAACAAAAAGCAGGAACGATGATAATTCTGTGCTTGAAACTATGTTTGACGACATCTCGAATGGGGTTGACACAGTTGTCATAGCAATACCTTGAATGATCCATCTCCGCAGGTTGCCATTGTCAATGAACTCGTAGATGAGAAGTTCTCCACCCGCGTGTTCACGTCACCGCCCATTGCGAACCCCAGCAGCGGCACCAAGTTGGGATGGTGCTTCATAACCATCTGAGCCACCTGCGGGGTAAAGAGAGAAGGCTTGATGAAATGGGAACCCACCAAATCGTTTCTTAGTGCCAACAGATGATTTCCTTGCTTCTGGTTTTACATTTTTTTTTTCTCTCTCTTTGTGGACCTTGAGTCCTCCAATATCTAGCCACACCTTGGCCGCAGCTGCCAAACACCCACCCTCCTGTTGTTCGACCCATCCCTCCCCATCCTCGCCCACCTCTCTATGGAAGTCGGTTGTGATGACTTTGGCCTGCTTCATGGCCCACAGCGTGGTGCCATCATCAGGGGACACCCCGCGGTACACGTCTCCATAGGTGCCCGACCCAAGCAGGCTGTCCTTGGACCAGCTGTCAGTGGCGCGCTCCACAAGGGCCAGAGAGTATTGCTGGCATGGCATAGCCGCGATCTCTAAGCCGGGACGGATGGGGCTGCATGGAGAATTGTGTGTTTGCATAGGAAGAGAAGCAGGGAGATTAGTAATAATGTGTGAAGAGGCAGATGTGCTACTTCAGGCTAAGAGAATGAAAGGTAGAAAATGAACCCCAGAAGGCTATTTCTAAGTGACAGGACAAAAAAGGTGACGATGATTAATTTGTGCAATATTTTAAGTCAAGAATAGAAGAGCATAACCTCCATTCGAGGTTGTGATGCGTGCGACCATCCACCAAGCCGAGCCAAGCAAGAGAAGGAGCAGAAGGGTGGCTGCTGCTACAATGCCGATGACGGCCCCCCACGGACATGGCGGAGAAGAAGGAAGGGGTGTTAGAGGAAGGAGGCGAGGAGGAGGAGGAGGTGTAGGACGTGGTGAGAGGGCTTCTAGGTGCAACGGGTGATGGGGGTGGTAGGGATGGGGATGGCGGTGATGGAGGAGGGAGGGCACGACTCTTGGTGGGAATGGAGCTGACATGGTGGGCACACATGAAGATGCACAGAGAAACTATGCTTTATGCAAAATAGCATGCAAGATCGAAGCTCCTATGTCCATGCATACGGCATGAATGACACAAATTGCCAACTAGCACACACTAGCCTTGACTTTCAATGACCAAAACGTCTCACCTTTGGCGAGTGTACATGTTTGACAAAAGCTCGCACATTCACGGCAGAAGGTGGTGTACATGAACTGGGAAACCACACAACTGGTAGCATCGGGAGGACATGTGAGTCCCAACGCTGTAATGTTGCTGCTTGTTGGGCCATGTGTGGGTGTGGGTGGAGAGAGAAGAATAAGGGATTTAGCAGAACGTAAAGAGACGGTGAGAGAACAGCTCGAAAAGGAACATGAAGACAGAGACGACGGCAGCGTGCAAAAAAAGGGGTGCGGAGGGCAAGTAGACAAAGAGAGAGGAATGTTTTAAGTACTCAGAGCGATACAAATAAACAACACAGGGCAAGTGGAGAACAAGGGAATAAAAGGAAACGTAGAACTGCGGAATATGTCACAAGAGGGGGTGTTGCAAATAGAGGACAGAATAGGGAAGGCACCAAAGCCACATCACTCAATGGCCTGGATAGAGAAGAAACTACCCATAGAAGTAGGTAGAAACTCAGAGAACTGATTCACACAGAGGTCACTGCAATGAACGTGTGACATTGTGCAAAAAAAAAAAAGCCTGAAGAAGGCTGAATCAGCGTAAAAAGGATGATATCTAGGGGCCCAGAGAACTATGTTTGTTGACATTACGGTAGTACAGTTAGACATGGGCAAAATGCGATTGTGATTTAAATCGCATCGCATGCAGGTGCGATGTTTTAAAAGGCGATGCGATTTTAATCGCATCGCGCGATTTAATAATAATTATAAAAAAAACATCGCACATCGCGTTTTGCCCGCAATGTTATTAAAAATCGCATGTGATGTTTTAATAAATCGCGCGATGCGATATTAAATCGCATCGCATTTTTGGAGGTTTTTAAAACAAGTCTACAAACATAGAAAAAAACGGCGACTTCTGAAAATTGGAACACGAGATGGCGTGCGGCCGTTGAACGATAGAAATCACGGTTCAGAGTGGGTTTCACACAAATGCGAGCCCCGTGGTAAGGGCCCGACTTTCGTAGCTTCGATAAAGTAAGTGTTTTGGGTTTGAAAGAGGGGGGAGGGGGGGGAAGGGGGGGGGGCAGCTGCCAGCTGGAGGGTGTGGCGAGTGAGGGTGCGGGGAGGGAGGGGGGTTTAAAGGGGGGGAAGGGGAGGGGAAGAAGCAAGCATCAAGCATAGTCATCGGGTGTAGCACGTTGTCAATATAAGGAAATGTCCTATCAGTTCCCGAACCCCCCAGCAGCACGCTAGCCCTCACAGCCCTGGACCTATCTCAAGGCCCAGCTCCCAAGCCTCGTCGGCCGTCTCGATATCTTCTGCTGCTACCGCGCCATCAAGCCGCTGTCCAGGGTGAGAGGCAATCCATGACTTCAGCATCATGCAAGCACGGATTCACTCCGCACCCAAGCAGGTACGCTGCCAATGGATGAGGTTGCGGCCCTGTGAGAACAGGTGCTCGCAGGGGGCAGAGGTGGCCGGGATGGCAAGGTAATCCCGAGCCATGTGCTGCAGCGCTGGAAGCTCCGGGTGGACCTTCCAGAACTGCAAGGGCAGTCGTGCAGTTCCGCCAAGGGGAGTGACAAGTACTGTTGGATCTCATCCTGCACCGATGAGATCCGTGCGGCCCGCATTGTTGCGAGGTGAGTAAACACACCCAAGTCCTCATCCTCCTCATCCTCGGACTCCCTCACATCCACTCCCATCCCCCTGCTGCCCCCCTCTACCGCTGCTGCTGCCCCCCTCTTCTCAGCCACCTCCTCATCCACCTTTCTTTTGTACGTCTCCCACCTATCGCGCACCAACTGCTCCACCTCGCCGGCATCCAACTCCTCCACCACCCTGGTGCTGCCTTCCACCATAGGCCGCTCAAACCACACTCGCTTCAGTGCCGGGTCCAAGAATGTGGCCACGTTCAGGTCATCGGTATTGGAGTAGAAAATAATTGAGCATTTTCTCCAATGCCTGGGACACGCACCGCGCCATCACCGACCTCGGCTTCGCCGCTGCCAGCTTGCGCTCCAGCCAGTCCAGTACCCCATTGTATTGTGGCACCACACGCGCCACAGTTGGGTACACCGACCCCTCCGCTGCTAGAGTAACGTTGTTGAATGGCGCCAGGAATGCCATCAACTCCTGTAGTATCGCCACTCATCTTCTGTAACGGCCTTCTTGTCCAGGTCGGCCTACTCCTTCTTGTTACACCTCTAGATTTGAGCAAACAAGGGTGTGGGGAGGGAGAGGAGAGGGGAGGGGGGAACGGAGGGGGGACGGGGGGCAATCTTTCTGAAAGGGGCTTGGAGTGTGGCGGGGGGACACGGCCGGGCGATGGAGGTAAGTGGGCGGCAGAGGGTTGGTGGTAACCAAGTTACATGACATACCTCACTAGCCACAAAGGCCCTGATTGGGCCCTTTGAGCTCGATCGCCCGCCGCAGCATGGTGTGGGTGGAGCCCCAGTGCACCGGATTGTCCTGCTTCAACTTCAAGGGTTGCTTTCCAGGGAACTGGTGACGCTGCTCGTTCTCGAAGGCCGCTGTCTTGATCACTGAGAAGCCAATGCGTGACGCCGAGGTTGCGCAGCTTCTTCAGCGGCGCTTCCACCTCCGGCACCCCACCCATAGCCTCCTGCACTGCGAGGTTATTGACAGGGCAAAAATGATGGAGGGCGAGATAGGTGGAACAAAGAGGTGAGGCCATGACGAGTGGAGGGCGAGGTAGGGATGTACTAAACAAGCACAACATGAAACAAGAACACGCCATGGGGAGGGTGGCTGGGGACTCACACTGTCTCGCTCGACTGTTGCAAAACGGCAGGGTCGGTATCGACAATGTACTCGACGAGCATTGTTCTCCCAGCGCGGCAGATCAAGTGGTTTCTGCATGTAGCGCCATTATCCCGCGCCCCCCCTCGCGGCCGACCAAAGGCCCGTCTTCCTCCGCGTCCTCCAACTTGGGCCAGTATGCCGACCCCCACCAGGTACTGCCCCCGTCGGGGACCTCACCGTCCCCAAACCCCCCCTTTGGTAGTGGTCCCGACCTTCATTTCCCCCTCCCGCCTTAGCCGCCTCAAAATGTCCCAGTGAGCCCTGTGGTGACCAACCATGTGGACCGCCCATTTGACGTGGTGCGGCTCGCGAAGCTCACTAGGAAGTTGCACATCCTACACCTCCTCCAACCCGGTGGCGCCTCCTCCATGTCAAAACAAGCCGCCACGCACAGTCGGGTTCCTTCTCCACCTCCGTGGAGGAGCCACATGACCCTGGCTCAGTCGCCCCTGACCCTCACCCCGGCCACCTCCCCCCGCCCCCCCCCCCCCCCCTCCCGGCATCCATGGGGAGCCTGGGCCGCACCCCGGCCACCTCCCGCCCGCCCCCCCCCCTTCCCGGCATCCATGGGAGCCTGGGCCGCACCCCGGACCCTCCCTCCTCCCCCTCCGCTCCCCCGCGCCTCGTGGAGGTATCTGGGTGACATGCCAGGCCTGCCGACATCCTCGCGCAGCAGTCCCTTCCGCCCCCTAGGCCGGCCCCGGGGACGGCCCCTGGGCGCCCCCCCAACCCCCATCCCCCTCTGCAGGTTTACGTGCCTTCTTCCCCGAAGAACCGACCGAGGGAGAAGCCCGTCATCCACCTTGCGCTTCCCCTTCTCCTCGCCGCCAGCTCCCCCATCCTC